TCGAAGGATCAGCAGGTTCTGAGCTACCTGCTGAACTCCCTCACTCAAGAAATCCTGGCGCAAGTGATCAGTAAGGATAGTACCTTTGATCTCTGGAATGCCCTTACCACTTTATTCGCCGCGCAGTCACAATCCCGCGTAACCAATCTGCGGATGGCCATCTCCAACACCAAGAAAGGCAACATGTCGAGCAACGCATTCATCGCCAAGATGAAGAGCCTCGGGGACGAGCTAGCTGCGGCTGGACGTCCGGTAACCGACCCGGAGATGGTGGACTACATCCTTGCTGGCCTCGATCGGGACTACGATCCCATCGTGGCAGTGATCGGCGCCATCAAAAACTCCATCACCATCGATGATCTCTTTGCGCAGATTGTTGCGTTTGATCAGCGGATGGAGATGCTGGGCGACGGTCCAGCAGGTTTCCGCTCCTCTGCCAACACCATCTATAGGGGGCGCGGACAGTCCCGCGGCAGGGGAGGCCGTGGCCGAAGCAACAGAGGGGGCCGCGGTCGAGGAAACCGCTCCTCTCCTTCCCCGAGTCGCGGGGGTGGCGGCGGTGGTCACCAGCAACGTTTTCGCCCTCAACCACAACAACAGCAGCAGCAAGAGGGCGACTACCCCGAGTGCCAAATATGCTACAAGTTCCATGCTGGCGGAGCAAGAGCCTGCTGGCATCGGTATGATGATGATCATGAAGAAAAGAAGGCAGCCAACCTCATCACCAACAACTACGGCATTGACACCAACTGGTATGCCGACTCTGGTGCCACCGAGCATATCACAGGCGAGCTCGACAAGTTGACGATGCGGGAAAGGTACCACGGCGGTGATCAGATACACACGGCAAGTGGAACTGGTATGGACATTACTCATGTTGGAAATTCAATTGTTAAAACCCCCGTAAAAGACCTACTTTTTAACAATGTCTTACATGTTCCACATGCCTCAAAAAATCTTGTTTTTGTTCATCGTTTTGCTCTTGACAACAATGTTCTCATAATATTTTATCCTCACTCTTTTGTGATCAAGGACTTGTCAACGAGGAGAATCATCCTTAGAGGAAAATGTGAGGGAGGCCTGTATCCACTCATATCATCTTCATCTTCATCATGGTCGAATAAACAAGCGTGGAGTGTCACCAAACCTTCTTCGGCCAGGTGGCATAGTCGTCTGGGTCATCCCTCCTCAGTTATAGTTCAGCATGTTCTTAGCAAGAATAAACTACCTTATGAGTCTAGCGTTGAGTCAATTTGTGATGCTTGCCAGCAAGCTAAAAGTCATCAGTTACCTTATCTTATATCAACAAGTGTTTCCACTGCTCCATTGTAGCTTATTTTTTTCAGATGTATGGGGACCAGCCCCCACATCAGTTGGTAGATTCTCTTATTATGTGAGTTTCATTGATGATTATAGCAAGTTCACCTGGATCTATCTACTAAAGAAAAGATCTGATGTTTTTCAAGTCTTTACCAACTTCCAAAATCTTGTTGAACGCCAACTAGACTCAAAAATTCTTGCTATGCAAACCGACTGGGGTGGTGAGTATGAGAAGCTAAATTCCTTTTTTCAAAAAATTGGAATCTCCCACCACGTCTCTTGCCCCCATGCTCATCAGCAAAACAGTTCGGCTAAACGTAAACATCGTCATGTTGTTGAGGTAGGATTAGCACTCCTAGCCAATGCTTCCATGCCCCTAAAATTCTGGGATGAAGCTTTTCTCACTGCCACATATCTTATAAATATTCGACCCAGCAAAGTCATCAAGTATGAAAGTCCAATCACACGATTGTTTGGAACAAAACCAGATTTTAAGTCTCTACGAGTCTTTGGTTGTGGATGTTGGCCGAACCTAAGACCTTACAACACACGCAAACTTGCGTTTCGTTCAAAAAAATGTGTGTTTTTGGGCTACAGTCCTATGCACAAAGGAGTCAAGTGCTTAGATGTTCCCACGGGCCGAGTCTATATATCTCGAGACGTTGTGTTCGATGAATCAATTTTCCCTTTTGAATCCCTCCATCCCAATGCCGGCGCTCTTCTTCGTCAAGAGATTCTTCTTCTTCCACCTACACTTCGAGGTTTTGATCACGGGGGAAACAACAATTGTACAAACCAACATGATGATAATATTCCTGCTGGAACCAGTGCTTGTCTTCCGTGTGTGCAGGTACCTGAAGGAAACAGGGAAGAAAACGGACAGAATGATCAAAATCCTGAAGAAAATGAAGCTATATTTCATGTAGAAGAAGAAGACGAAGGTGGCGCGGCGTTCGAGGATGATTTGGCGGCGCCTGCCACCCCTGCGCCTCAATCCCCCTCGGATCACGCGCGGATATTCGCCTCGGATCGTGATTCGATCGAACAGGAGAATAGGCGCGGGCGAGCCGCTCCGCCACCGCCACGTCATCGCGCGGAGAATCTCCATCGAGCGGCCCGCGCATGCAGCCAATCATTGCGAGGCGCGGCGGGTGCATGCAGCCAACAGGCCCACCTGGCGCGACTGGCACGGGATCGTCTGCGGCTACAGACGGTGCGGCTGTGGATCCGCGCGCCACATCTGCGACCACAGGATCGGATGCGGCAACTCCTGTCTCCCCTCCAGGATCTTCTGCGACAAGTGGATCCGCACGCCCGCGTGTACAGCAGCAACCAGCCACATCCAAAGTCACAACTCGACTACAAAAAGGTATTAAAAAGCCAAAAATAAGGACTGATGGCACAATAAGGTATGGTATGCTGTGTATTTCAGGAGAGCCGACAAAACTAGATGATGCGCTTAGAGATCCAAAGTGGAAGAAGGCCATGGATGAGGAGTATACAACCCTGATAAAAAACAAGACATGGCGTTTGGTACCAAATCAAAGAGGTAAAAACATCATTGATTGTAAATAGGTGTATAGAATCAAAAAGAGGGCAGATGGCTCCATTGACAGGTATAAAGCACGTCTTGTTGCTAAAGGCTTTAAGCAGCGTTATGGTATTGATTATGAGGATACATTTAGTCCTGTAATAAAAGCTGCAACCATAAGACTTGTGCTAGCAATTGCTGTGTCTAGGGGATGGAGTCTGAGACAGCTAGACGTAAAGAATGCGTTTTTACATGATGTTCTGGAAGAGGAGGTCTACATGAGGCAACCACCAGGTTATGAAAACAGGCAAAAACCACATTATGTATGCAAACTTGACAAGGCTCTCTATGGCTTGAAACAAGCACCTAGAGCATGGTATTCCAGACTAAGTATGCAGTTGAAACATCTTGGCTTTGTTGCATCAAAAGCTGACACATCTCTCTTCATATACAATAAGGCAAATACAGTCATCTTTGTGCTCATATATGTTGATGACATTATAGTTGCAAGCTCTTCTCAGAATGCTACTAATGCTCTTTTGCGTGATCTAAGCTCAGAATTTGCCTTAAAGGATCTTGGTGATTTAAGTTTCTTTCTAGGCATTGAAGTTAAGAAGGTTCAGGATGGTATAGTGTTGAAACAAGAAAAATATGCCACTGAACTCTTGGCTCGGATGGGAATGAAGGATTGCAAGCCTTCCCCCACACTATTATCCTCATCAGAACAATTGTCAGCTTATGAAGGGGAACCACTTAATGAGAAGGAAAGCACCAGGTATAGAAGTGCTGTTGGAGCCTTGCAATACTTAACCTTGACACGGCGAGATATCTCATTTTCTGTTAACAAAGTATGTCAATATCTGCATGCTCCCACTTCTGCTCATTGGACAGCTGTCAAAAGGATCATAAGGTATGTGAAGCACACTATAGATTTGGGGCTGTGTTTTAAACCTTCCCATTCTACACTGGTTAGTGCTTTCTCTGATGCAGATTGGGCAGGCTGTAGTGATGATAGAAAATCCACAGGAGGATTTGCTGTTTTCTTTGGGTCTAACCTTATTTCATGGAGTGCCAGGAAACAAGCAACAGTGTCAAGGTCGAGTACTGAAGCTGAGTACAAGTCATTGGCAAATGCTACTGCAGAGATCATTTGGGTTGAGTCTTTGCTTGAGGAATTGGGTGTTAAGCAACGTCGTGCCTCATGCCTATGGTGTGATAACTTAGGTGCTACTTATTTAAGTGCTAATCCAGTTTTTCATGCCAGAACAAAGCACATTGAAATAGGCTTTCATTTTGTACGGGAAAGAGTTGCAGAGAAGAAACTGGAGATACGCTTTATTCCTTCAAAAGATCAAGTAGCTGATGGTTTCACCAAAGCCTTACCGTACAAGCCATTCGAAGCATTCAAGAACAATCTCAACCTAGGATAGGTAGTTCAGATTAAGGGAGGGTGTTAGACTTAGACATATATTCTGTTGTAATCTAAACTACTTATCTCTTCCTCTCCCTTGTAACCTCCTATCTCTTATCCTACCGAATCCTAGCGATCGGTAGATGACTTGTAAGCCACGGCAGGGGCGTTTCCTGCCCACGATCAATAAAGCCTCGCGGCTCCTCTATGGAGGAGTAGGAACGCTTCCACCAGATACATCTTACACGAAGAACAATCGGTGGAAGGGGACATGTATTATTGGACGGGTGGAAACCATGAAAGTGAAAAACTAACAAACTATCCTTTAGTAGTAGAGATCATTGGTTTCCATGCATTCCTTATATGTGGCTATCTAATCATTGTTTTTTCTGGTTTCTCTCCTCTCTTTGTTCTAATAATCTGTAACTGCAATTTTGTCCCTTGATTAATGATTTGTCAAACACGCATCATGCGTGTAGAAACAATACATAGATAGTACTTACTACTAAACTCCTTGTGAGGACAACATGTAGTATTATTATCAATTAGTCTGTCGGAATGGAAGCACATCGAAAAACTTTGAGGACAATACTAGGTAGAAAAACTATACCCGATCCATACGTGCTGCCTACCTAATTATCCATCTATGTAGACTGAAGAGCAAAACATCCACGTAATCGTAGAGAGGAAGCAGGGACAATGAGTGCAGTTAAACAAACGTGTGAACCGGCCAGTTGGCTACACGCCGCCGCAGCGGTAGACGATCCGGCACGTCCGCCCCACCCGGACGACGTACTTGTGCTGTGGCTTCACGAGGAACGGCGGCAGCCGCAGGAGCGCCTCGCACACACAGTCCTTCTGCACCTCCTGCAGCCACCGGCAGCAGTCGCGGTACGCCCGGAGCTCCTCGTCGTGGTGGTGCTCGTGGTTGTCGTTATCGTGGTCGTGGTCATCGTCGTCGTCATCATCATCATCATCATGTTCGTCGTCGTCGTCATGGTCGTCGTCGTGGTCGGGGTCCTCCTCGTGGTCATCATCATGGTCGGGGTCCTCCTTGTGGTCGTCGTCATGATCGGGGTCCTCATCACCGTCGCGCACACGCCCACGCCGGCCGCGTCCAGTACCACGAAGACGCCCACGCCCGCGTCCGCGCCCGCGCCCGCGGTGGGTGTGGTTGCCGCCATGGTGACCTGTGCCGTTTCTTGCAACGTGAACGCCGCTGCTGTCGTTGTTTGCCGCCATCAGGCCAAGGGACGAGATGTTGAAGACCGCCGCGTGGCCATGGCGTCCACGGAGGCGGCGGTCACCGTCACCGCCATGGTGCTCGTCATCGTCGTCGTCGTCGTCATCGTCGTCGTCGTCGTCGTCATCATCGTGGTGGTGGTGATGGTCGTCCTCCGGGGGGCTGGGCGGCAGGATGGAGCAAGCCTGACTAGCGATGGCGAACTGGCTGATGCAGAAGGCCTTGGCCTTGCCCTGCTGCGCGGCGACGGGAGCGAGGAGGGAAGGGAGAAAGAGGAGGACGGCGGCCAGCGCCGCGACTTGGGCCGCCAATGCCGCCATCTACTGAGTCGTGGCTACTATGTGGAGTGCCACACTAGTGCATGCCGGCCACTTCTTATAAAGATGTGTAACCAAGTCAGTAATGTGCATTAGAGAGGTTATTATTAAGTAGTTGGGGTTAAGGCCGGGTAGGGAGTGACCAGATCGATGGAGATGCACACAGCGTGGTGCATGGTTGTAATTAGTTAGGTGCTTCATAACGATGGCGTGCATATCCAGGATTGTTCAGCCATGTCCACCTTGTTTACATGCATGCATGCAGGCGTGCATTGTTGGTGACAGGCCAGTGACAATTTGGTTGTACAAAACTTTCTAAATTATTATCTTCGTCAATCTTTACACAAGTCCCCGTAATTTAGCATGTTTAGAGCTAGTTTGCACTTCTTAAGCTGTGTGACATTGTGTTTCTTCTTTTACCCCCGCTGGTTAAATGACAGAATGATAAGTACATATCGTACAATACAAATTGTCAAATCTCACCAGAAGCACCAAGCACCCAATGCTTTAGGAAACGGTAAAGATTACATCAAGTTTTCTGAACCACCGAATGACCAATGCCTCCACCAGAACCGGTTCAAAATTTATGAAAATTTATACACCCACTGATCCAAAATAAGGGTTGCGGTTTTGAACTAGTTTTGGAGTGGGGTTAGTTCAAACTGCAACACTTTTTATGGACCGAAGGTAGTACTATATAGTCTATTTTAGTCTAAATATCATAATAATTTCAGCAAATCTCTCTCTCTCTCTCCATATATATATACTACCTAAAAAGAACCTAAGGTTTGGTTTCACCCTTTACTATGTCCAACCACTTTGTATATGTTCTCCTTCCTTCCTTTTAATGACTTTTCTCCTCCCATCTTTAATTTCCTCCCACAATTCTTCCCTAAACCAACACATTTGTCCATGTCTTATTAACTTACCAAAAGAAGTACCACTTACTTTGATAAGTCAATAAGTTACCAAATAATTATTTAACAACAAGATGGTAGGTAAATAATGTTCATTGGAAACCAAAACTAGCTAAGATTTTAGCACACTAATGTAATAATAGTGGGCTATCACTGGTCAATCTATTAAAATATTTATGCCACCGTTACAACGTACGGCAAAAAAAAAAATTGAGTGAAACGCACGGCAATTATCTAGTAGTCTTAAAGTAACATTAACTTGTTAGATATGTAGTCCAAGGTACATAGTAAAATTCATTTTGCAATTTTACAGGGGGTGCCCCACTAGATCTATCACTAGCCAGAATGAGTCATCGACACATTGGAATCGTCACCCGCTACAAGAGTCGGCCTCATCTTGACAATGACAGCCCGGGTGTCTTCGTGCATGTGCCCCTAAGGAGTAAGGACCATCACCCTTGAACTATAGTTGTCATCGTTGATCTCTTAAATTGATACGAAGCCCCTAACACTAGATTGCACAGCCCTGAAAGCACGATGAGAAATCTTAAACCACGATTAAGTTTTACTTCTTACCCTCGCTGGTGAAAAAGGCTACAAAATGTAACATTACCTAATGATTGCCAACAGTGTTGCGATAACCACTCCTGCAGGATGCTGCTAACGTGAGCCTATAATCAGAGACCCTTCGACGAAACTGCGTGCGATGCATTAATCGCAAATGGTGATGTAAAAAACCGTCAAAAAGATGCAAACCATTTGCGATGGTAGATACATAAAAAACGGTTCAGATTTTAGATGCGTGTGCGATGCGGTGCATACGGTTGATCCATACGAACTGCTTGCGGTGAGACAGAACAACAAAAACGGGCAGCCAGGTCAAGGTGTGTGCGATATACGACATACAGTTCGCCCTGATAAACTGTTTCTGATGAGGTGGAACAAAAGAAACGGGCAGCCAGATGAAGGTGTGTGTGATATACGACATACAGTTCACTCGGATGAACTGTTTGTGATTAGGCAACACAAAAGAAACGGTCAGCCCGATGAATGTGTGTGCAATATACGGCATACAGTTCACTCGGATGAACTATTTGCATTGAGCCAAGAGAACAGAAACGGTTCAACTTAACAGTATGTGCTCCCACACTTTTCTTAATGAATTCTTTGACCCCTTGACTTCCTGGATATGGAAATCCTCTTGTACTATGAAAATCAAGGTGTTTGCTTGGATGCTCATTATGGACAAATTGAACACAAAGGATGTGGTGGAAAGGAGGCACTGGCATATGGACGATGGAAATTGTGTGCTTTGCCCTTTGCAAACAAGAGAAAATAGGGATCATCTCTTTTTTAATTGTAATTTCAGTGTGAGAGTGTGGAACTATCTGTCGATTGATTGATTGGTTCTCTGTAGATCCTCTGGAGATTCAATGACTGAATTGGTTGTCCAGGCTAGGAGGAGTTTTGACAAGCCTTTCTTCACTGAAGTAGTTTTTATTGCCCATTGGAATATTTGGATCATTAGAAATGCTAAAGTCTTCAGAAGTGGTTCGACCTTATTGTAGGAATCCTTCATGTCTCTATAGTAGGGATCGATGATGGCCTCGGTGAGGTGAAGCAGTGAGTCCTTCTCATGCTCGTTGTTGCCCCAGATCTTGTATTGGACCTGGATGTTGACAAGATTTTGGCAGGCGATGCTCGAATTCTTGAGCACCTTTACATCGTTGCTAATGTCCATTGTAGCGAACATGTGGTGGGGGCTATTGACAAACCTGGCGAAACACTCGCAAGGCCTTGTGGCTAGGAAATATTAGTAGATGAGGACGTGATTACGCACGCACACCTGGGCGATGACCACCTTGGGACGAGATCTGGCACGAGCGCTGGTGTACTCAAGGTCGAACCCGACAACTTTGTACTTCTCCTCAGCAAGCAACAACTCCATGATGTGGATACAGTGCTCCACCTAGGCCTGGTTGTTGGTGTACACCACCGAGAGCTCTATGAACCTTCTGTGGGTGTCCACCACGGCATGCATGGTGAACTGCTGCTCGTTGTTGGCAGCTGGTCGGAGCGCCATTGGAGCCGCGGAGGATACCCTCTAAGAATTTGTCATGGTGGGTGTGCTTCTTGCAATAGTGGTGCGCGGTCGAAAGGTGGAAGAGACACAAGGGTTAAATGGCCGCTATAATAAATGGGGGCCGGCCGGCCTATAGTCATCACGTCCTGTCACCGCGTTCATAACGGAGGATTCCAGTGCACGCTCGAGAACACCGCACGCGTTCCGTTTGACCACGCATGTGCTCGAAGAGGCGCCAAATGTATCATCGGTGAGCATGTTCCTGTGCAACCACGCAGTTTACCACGCAAGCTTCCCACTCGGCTAGTTTGGGCATGCGTCGTTTAGAAGAGGGACAAATCGTGGGCGTTTATTGGCAAAAAATATTGTAAAAATGAAGTATGTGGAATGGCTTCGGTCTTAATTTTACCCGTGGGTGATGAGGTCAAAGTTACACAGAAGGGTGATGATGGACACTCGAGTCCGATAATTAATTCTATGCTCTATAGAGCACACGGTTGAAGAAACCAACTATGTGCAATAATGTCGAGGATCGCAGTCGAGTAAGCTATACAGATCGTGTGTTATGACATCGACAAGGTAAACACATTCGTGAATGGTTAATAAAATCTAAGTCCATTGCATATTAAGGTCAAAATAGTGCTACCAATATACGAGTCTCATACGATGCCATTTCAACGATTATACCACAAAAGATCAAAATATTACAAGGTTCAAATTCTAGAGTTATATGGCTCCAATTCAAGGATTACAAGATTCAAACTGATATTAGAAATGAAATTCAGCTTATCCGCTGCAAACGCCTGATGACCCACAATTATAGGGGATCAATCGTAGTCCTTTCTGTAAGTAAAAGTGTCGAACCCAACGAGGAGTAGAAGGAAATGACAAGTGTTTTTTAGCAAGGTATTCTCTACAAGCACTGAAATTATCAGTAACAGATACTTTGTGATAAGATAATTCATAATGGGTAACAAGTAAATAAAGTAACTAAGGTGCAGCAAGGTGGCCCAATCATTTTTGTAGCAAAGAACAAGCATGGACGTACTCTTATATAAAGCAAAGCGCTCTCGAGGAAACATGGGAATTGTTGTCTAGCTAATTTTCATCATGCTCATATGATTCGCATTCGTTACTTTGATAATTTGTTATGTGGGTGGGTCGGTGCTTGGGTGCTGCCCTTCCTTGGACAATGATGAGGACACCCCTAGTCTTTTGCCATCCTTTTCCATTGATGATGTTGCAGGACATGACAAGTCCAATGAAATAAGAATTGGACCAATTACAAGAGCACGTGCAAAACTACTTGAACAACACATGAATTCACTCTTAGTTGAATATAACATTTGTGTTATTCAGAATTTTATATTGCCTAAGTCTTTGCATGTAGCGACCCAACCTCAGACGGTCAAGTCTCTGTGCTTAAGTGTCATCCCTGGATCAGTATGCTGACACACACAGTACTCGAGGATTTATAACAGAGGTAAATCACATATATAAAGTAACATAAATACTATTACCTCAATCCAAATAGCGGAAGTGCAACAAGGTTGTGGGTTCCCATCAACACCAACGGCAAAGTTGAGTGTAGGAATGGTAACCCTAACGTATCACTTACTCATCGTAAGTTTCCTGCAACATGAGACGTTGCAGCCACAAAGGGTCAGTACATTGAATGTACTGGCAAATTCACACCATAGGATAATGATGAATAATAGCTATCACTACATGCATATTTGGCTGGTGGAAAGCTCTAAGTTTATTTTTGCATAAAGCCAATTTTTCCCTACTACAAAGGAATATATTTTATTTAACTACAAGGTTTGTTGAAAACATTGAGAAGGTTCCTCAAACTCAATCCCAAATTAATAATCATCAACCCAACCAATTTATTTAAGTAAAGTGTTGAGATCAACATGATGATTCAAGAACCAGATACTCAAGATGTCCATAACCGGGGACTCGGCTAACCATGATTAGTTTATACACTCCGCAGAGGTTCG